GCTTTTAACATTTCCTTGGAGAAAACCGCTACCAAATGATTTCCTACACATCCTCCCACAAAGGAAATGCGCATCCCTATTCCTGCCCGATGTGAGAATTCTTGGTTTCATATTATCTCACAGTGAACGGAATAATAAGGCTATATTTAATAAGAAAACTAAATACCGTAAAATGGAATCTAAAAAATCAAGTCAATAAATGCAATTAACGAATCAACTGATAGAGAACCGAACATTAATGATAGAAATTAACGTTAAGTAGGAAGACTTGAATTAATCTGCATATTAGTGTTACCCAATAATTTCCCTCTATTTCTTTTCATCAAAAAAGAACGAATGTTTTGAAAAGTTCTTTTGGTTGTTTCAACAAAGAAAAAATAACGTCTTAAAAGTTCCAGCCAGAACGGAAATTCGTGAAGGGTTTGTCTTCGGCATGAAAGTACTTAAGATAACATGGCTTGCAAAGTGGTCTAGTTAAGTGGTCGCACTCCATATTTTTGGAGCGCTCTTTTAAAAAAAACTATCCTTTTTTTCCCCTTCCTATTTTATCATTTCTTTCCACCTTGGAAACTTCTGTTTTGGAAATTAGGATTCTATACAGTGGCGTAGTTTTGGGGAGAGTTTGGGGGACAAAACCCCCTCCGTAATTATTTATATTACTTGATTAACTAACCACTGTACAATAAGTAGCATGTGAATATAAGAAAGTTTTCATTATTCAGTTTTTTGCAGTTTAAACTTATAGAATATATATATATTTAGAGAGAGAGACCGGGATAGCCAGGTTGGCAGAACACTGGACTCACATTCGTAAGAACGGGAGCTCGCATCCAGCCGGCTGAAAACTCCCCGTATTGTGAATGGTGACTAGTGCACGTTAAATCTGTCGAGTCATTAAGTTCTCCATGTTCCCATAACAAATTATACCTCTAAGGGTACTAAATTGGAGATGGATCGTTCTTTTGTTCAGGTCAAAATTACGGTCTGTGGATGAATGAATCGATGCATGAATGTGTTTGCCCTATAAACAGGTATGGCAGAAGTCGAATGCTTGGCCATAGATGGCGCCACTGGAAAAAAATGGCATCCGATCTGCTTTAATGGCCGATAACAACAACAACAGAAGGGTATAACCAATAGCCTCCCTCGAACATGCATTGAAACTGCGCCACTGATTCTATACATCTGAAAATTCTACTGGAAAATCCAATTGACTTCTGGATTTTTCAGGCCTCCTGATTTAAACTTCCAAAATGTCAATAATCAACCATTCAAAAAAAAAAAAAAAAAAACACAGATCATTCATTTTCATTGTTATGGGGAAAATAGTACTTTTATTTTATTAGCAAAACTCGTCATTTTCTTAGCAATTCCTTGTTTGCATCATTATGTAATGTACTCAAGTCGTGAAAAACTAAATCACACAGTTAAATCCGTAAGTTCCGAAAATTATTTTTCTGATCGAATTTCATTCGAAAATTCGGCAGTTATGTTAAAAATTTGTACACACTTCCATCCTGTGGACATATAAAAGAAAGTTCTCTCAAATTTTATTCCATGCAGCATGTTCACCGTTCCCCATAAATATTTGGTTTGTTGTAAAAAATAAAATTAAAATATTTGATTTCATATCTTTTTTTTTTTCTTTCTCTCTTTATTTATTTATTTTTTTTTTTCTTTACGAAGTGAAACAAAAATTTCTGCTCGGTTCTGGAATACATTGATCATGGTGCGTAGCGTTTTTAAAAGGTGCTTATTTTCCATTTTCGTTATTTGAAACCCTTTAAAGGTGCTTTTTTTATTGACTGTTTTTAAAAAGTGCTGAATTTTCCCTTTTCAAAAATGAGATTTTTTTTTCTTTACCACGTCGATTTTCACAACGTATTATGCAAAAGCTTGCCTTTCACATTGTTCTATTCAGCATTTTCACAATTCATTTCGGCGTACCGTCGGTCCATAGCGTATGAAAGCGCCAATCATTTTACATGTTTGATGAAATACTTGCGAGTCGGTATGTGCGTCTACAGGGGCGCCCATATGTTTGAATTTAGGGGGGGGGCTCATGAAGGGAAACAACAAATAGCTTAATAAATTAAAAAATTAATGAAAGGAAATTTTATCTATTTAAATATTTTTAACTTAATTAGCTGAATAACTAATTAATTTAAATTAATTTCACTTTTAATTATACATGATTAATCAAATACACGTATGTTTCATTAAGCATATATTTTCTAGGGGGGGGTGCCTTTGGCCCTCCCTTAGGGGCGCCCATGTGCGTCTGCTGAGCTGGGTTCGGTGAAATTATTGTCTTCTCATGTACAACTCTGCTGCGTTTTGCAAGATATTCTCAATGTGAGGCTTCATTCCCCCCCCTTCCCCCCGTGATATCGAACCGAAAAATCTCTCGAACATTTTATAACGCCTAATATAATCAAGAAAAGAGTTCTTTGTCAGAAACTAGTTATTTTATCATGATCATGTAAAGTCTTTGAAAATTATTTTGCATTTTGTTAATGTATATAGTGCTTAGAAATGTTTTTTGAGTTCTTAAAGGTGCTTATTTTTTGTTGCGAGATTTGGCTACGCACCCTAATTGATGGAAGTGCAAATTGTACCAATCAGATTCCAAAAAGTAATTTCGCCTGCAAGCAGTTCTTAAGAAGAAAAGAAAAATTATTTTGGAAATGTGTTAAAATTTTTGATGCGGCTGAAAAGCTGAAGTAAATATTTAATGAGAACAGAATATTCTTAAAGCTGTTTTTAATTAATTTCATGTGACTTCATAATCTGGTAAGCAAAAGAACTAATATTACTAAGAGTAAATATTTATGTTCGAGCTATTAAAAAACATGGAGTTCTATTGTAGAAAATTTTGATCTATATTGTCTACTTGTAGAAAATAACAATATTTTAAAAGCTCACAAAAACAATTAAATTGAAAAGAACAATGGATTTATTATCACTAACCAGGGTTGGCAAGTTTTTGACACATAACTGTTTTTATCGGTTTATACCATGGTTTTTACCGTCGTGTCAGAAACCCATAGTTTTGGTAAAACTGTATTTTTATTTGAGTTTAACTGCTTATAATTTAAAATTAATTCATTTTTGGGCAGTAAAATTAGAAAAAAAGTTGTTAAAAGATATTTAAGAACAGATTCTTGCATTTTCCCAACATGATTATAACAAAACATACTATTTGAAGTTATATATTAGGATACTAAACAAAATGTTCAACATTTCCAAGCATCATTTTGTTTGGTATATTACATTACTGAAGAATGTCAAGTCATTCTTGACTTAGAGTTTGTTAGAAGTTACAAGTTTTGAAAGTTTTGTTTAACTTATTTCAAATATTTAAGAAATGCCAAATTTTAAATTCTTCTTTTTAGTTCTTGAATTTATTAATAGTTCCAAGCATTTTTGTTTGTTTGTTTATTTCTAACAATTAAGAAGTACAAAATTTTGAATCCTTTGCAAATCAAGCTATAATGTTGATAAAAGTAAGTAGTTATCACTATTTTCAATAAGTATATTACAATATTTCTGTATGAATGTATATCCCTCTATAAGATTACATGTAGGTCATTCATTTATAAGGCAATTATGTGAAAATAATATATTGTCCGCTATATGCCATAAATTGAAGAAAACAGTAGGTTTTTGATGGTTTTTACAGGTAAAAACACGGTTTTTACCACTGTCATGTCAAAAACCAGTTTTTGAAGGCAAAAACCCAACCCTGTCACTAACCTATTAGAAATTACGTAATCCATGAAATTTTTTTCTTTCCAAATGATTTGGAAGCAGTAGAAATTACTCCAAATGATGCACATTTTCAAACAATTGAACTGGAAATCACTCTTTTGGAAAGTGTATTTTTACTTCTTCAAACATAATCATGGGTTGGGTCTTTTTTTTTTTTTTTTTTTTTTTTTTTTTTTTTTGACATGTCCCATTCATATCTGAAACTTTTTATTTTGAAGATGCAAAAAATATTTGAATTTCTGAGATTATTGTCTACTTTTGAAGAATGGAAAATTGTTTTCATCCTGAGAGAAAATGAGAATAGTTGCTTATTTTTCACCCTCGTTAAATCGGATTACCAATTTCGTAATATTGGTATTTTAAATTCACTGTTTCTATGGGTATTCGGAAAATATTCGTTACATTGAAATTTTCGCTACAACGGGATTTGTGTCTAGTACTTTTCAAGTGCTAACGTTGTTAATATTGTTTTTAATAATTGTGGGTATAAGTAATTTATATTGAACCTGTTGTGTGTCACCGAAGTACCTGCCATGTGCTACCTAGTGGCATGCATGCCGTAAATTTGCCCTCTCTGAGGAATGATCCACTTGTAGTATTTTGACTTTGGAAGTATTTTTTATTCAGTATCATAGTACGTCTCCTTAATACTTTTAAAGCAGACAAAAAGAGGGATTTTTTTCTCATCATTTATTACCCATTGACAAAATGGGTCTTGTTTTGGATTTGATGGAGTCCACACACTTTTCAACTGTGTTCAAGAGTAATAGTAAACAGTGTGCATACATTGCTACGGCGACCCCTGCTGTTTTTCTTTTCATTTTCACTAGCAGGCATTTTTAATGTTTTTATATAATTATAATTTAATGTATTTTTATATTCTTTTTGTAATTAACATTTAATGACTGGCTTGACAGTGATTTCAATATAAATATGAATGTTGAAGAATGAAAAGTATTTTGTGACGTCTTAAAACACGTACATATGCAGAATATGAATACAAATCCGACAATAACCATGAATTGAGACAGTTGTCGCAACCCATGATTTGAAATGTTGTGGCGTTTAACTGAGTCAATCCAGAAAAAAAAGTACTTGATCAATGGGTAACCAGTGATCGTAATAAGGCGATCACAACTTTTTTGTTGATTTTATTTTGTTTTATTTTTATTTATATTAATTTTGTATTTTTTATAATAATTTCACATTGTTTTGTTATTCTTTTCCAGAACTGTCTTGCAAAAGCTCTTTATGACAATGTGGCTGAAGCTCCAGATGAGCTTGCATTCCGAAAAGGTGATATCCTCACCGTCTTAGAACAGAACACCAACAGCTTGGAAGGATGGTGGCTGTGTTCCCTACGTGGAAGGCAGGGGATTGTGCCTGGAAATCGACTCAGGTTACTACCTGGCATGTATGACTCAACAGGACTTGGCACAGATAATTCACTTTCTCTGCGTAGAAGCTGGGCATCAAATCCCAATAAGGTATTTTTGTTATACTGTTAGCATTCAGCATTACAATTTAAACACCAAATTTATTTATTCAAATATTAAAAGTTGACTGCTAAAAGGGAAATGAAATATGTTCTCCTATTTATATCTATAGAGTGGTTGGATTTAGTAGTACCTGACACAAAATTCATAAGAAAAACTTAATAAACAACTAAGCATTTCTAAAGCTGATTTTTCACAGCATTCATGAAAAGGTGGGTCAGCACACCTTTACTTCAGAGAGATCTTTAGTCTGGGCCATAGATCTTCATAACCATTGAGCCCTTTCATTAAACTCCATGGTGCATAGCATTTTTAAGAAGTGCTTGAAGTTGCTTATTTTCGTTTTTTAAATGTGCATAATTTTCGCTTTTCCAAAATGAGATTTTCGAAAGGGGAATGTCGATTTTCGCAATGCATTATGTAAAAGCGTGCTTTTCACATTGTTCTATTCAACATTTCACAATCAATTGCGATGCTCCGTCGGTCCTTAGCATATGAAATCGCCAATCATTTTTCATGTTTGAGGAAATACTTGCTAGTTGCCGTCTACTGAGCTGAGTTCAGTGAGATTCTTGCACTCTCATGTGCAACTCTGCTGCATTTTGCAAGATATTCTCAATTTCAGTCTTCATTTTCCACCCTCTGATATTGAACCAAAAAATCTGTTGATTATTTTATAATGGCTAATATAATCAAGAAAATTCTTTGTGAGAAACTAGTTATCATGATCCTTTTAAGTCTTTGAAAATTATTTTGTATTTTGTTAATGTATATAGTACTTAAAAGGTGCTTATTTCTTGTTAAAAATTTTGGCTACGCACCCTGAACTCTTCCAATGTATTTCAAAACATGTGCTGTTTTATGCGTCATTACATAAAACAGCTTTCTTTAAACGTAGAATTGAATAAGCATTGAGGCAAAATCAGTCAATGACGATTAAAAAAAAAAAGAGAAACTTTGAAATAAGAAGTCATGTTTTACTAAATATTAAAGAACTTCTGCTCTTAGTAATGAGGACTATTTGAAGGAAAGAATAGTTTTAAAAAGCAAAAAATAACTTCTTTAAATGGTAATTGTAAGATAATATGGATAAATTACATTTCCTGTTTGTAATAATTATATTTGACCAATTTTGTTGTTTGATTGAGCAATCAATTCATTGATAACTGCTGCTAATTTATATTTTTGGGAGGGTGAAATTCGCATTTTGCTGAATGAAATTCTGAGACCCAATTTTATTTTATAACTGTTGTTGAACAGCCTACCCAATTTTGGGTTTACGACTACTTATGTTCAACCCAATCCGGAAGACAAGGGAACTCCTGGATCAGTATTGGGAGAAATTCACCTTTGTGGAGAACTTTTTGATGGAATTAACCCACATTCACATTACGTGGAGAGGAAAACCTCTCACAGTTAGCCTTATGGCAAGGGGACTCTAACCCATGATCTGTCTATCACTGATGATATTTTACATCAGCACTGTAGTTGGTGCAAGCCGGATGCGGAATTCCTATCGACCAGTCATTGCTGGGATTCGAACCCGGTTCACCTCATTAGAAGGTGAACGCTCTATCCTCTGAGCCACCACGGCTCTCTGAGACTGAGTTATAAGAAAGTATGTAATTCGTTAATTTAAATTGCAAAAAATATTTTGTTGCTAATATTTTCAATGTTGCAATATATTAATTTTTTCTCCAGTATATTACTTGACTTTATATTAAATTATTTAGTCAATCAGCTGCGATTGGTGAATGGGTAAAGCATTAAAGTATTGTGAAGATCCAATGGCGGCTTTGATGCCCATCCAGCTTCAGATCAATGGGTACCAGTTTCTCTGAGGAATAAAAGCTGCCTGTGTGCGAAACTGACCACATTGTGGAGCACTAACCACTGTGAACCCTCTAGTCTAGTAATATTTATACACAAAAGGCTATTAATTGATTTATTTTAGTCTATAAATAATGAATGATTTAATAAATAAATATAAACAAAAAATAGGATAGAAATTATTCGCAACTGAGATGAACACAATTTTTTACTCTCTCATGAATCAAATAACAAATAATTTATGGTCTAATCAGCAATTCTCGTCGAAAACTGGATAGACGTAAATCATGTATTCTGAGAATCGTGCTTTACAATGAAAATATAGTTTCAGTAGTTAAAGATTTTAAGAAAAATAATTAAAAATTGAAAATAAAGAGCTTACTGAACTTACCGAGCTACTTTATTTATTTATATTATAATTTGCTAAAACTATTTTTAAAATATCTTTATTTGTTGAATTTAAAAAGTGAACACTAATAAAGTAAATACAAATATAGTAAATGTTACTTCAAAGAGAAAATGCGTAAACATTCTAGCAAAATTTGCCAAATAGTAAAAATGCTTGGGAAAATTTCTGAAAGGTTTCAGAAATTTTCTGGGCATTTAAAAGTGTTTCTTCAAATTAATTACAGCTGTAATGGTTTTAAAAAAATGTGTTTTAGTTGATAACATTTTATTTTGTAGGGATGCTAACCAAAGCTGCTTTTATTTTATAGTAATGTTTTGTTTCTTTTTAAGGTTATTACCCCACAAAAGATTGGCGGTGTTTACTTATACGATGTTCCTCCTGGAACGAAATTAACCGAAAAGACTCCAATTCCACGCTACAGCCCTTCAGGTCAGTTACCTCTGTTGATGTCACCAAATTTTATTTTTAATTTATATAAACAATTATTTTTTAAAACATCCCCTATAATTTTTCAAAAATGCTATTTTAATTCAAGAATATAAAAGCTTTAAACAATTCATGTAATTTATATATTATTTTACAAAATTTTATGACTATCACTTTCATGTAAGTTTATACATGTCCCATAAAGCCCATTTAATGTCTTTTTGGATTTATTACAATTTGAACTCATTGATTTCAATGAAACAAAATATAAGTATTATCTTTTAAGATTATAATTGTAGTTAGTATTTATTCAGTGTGTGTAGCATTTTTTAAAAGCCCTTAACAGTGCTGAATTTTCCCTTTTCCAAAACGAGACTTTTTTTCTTTAACATGACAATTTTCGTCTTGAATTGCGTAGAGATTCTCGATTTCAGGCTTCCGCCTTCTGAAATCGAACCAATAAATTTCTCGAATTTTCGCTGATTGTGGAGACTATCTACATTGCCAATTTTTTTTTCTTTAAAAATTTTTTATTTTTCTTGCTGGTGAAACACTATTGGCAATCGAAATAGGCTACAGGTGGCATAGAACAGAATTATCTTCCCATGGCAACATTTCGCATGCTTTCACCATTAGAGAGTCATAGAAGAAGGAAGTACGTTAGTTTCTGTCTTTATTTTCAAATAAATGAAAAACTTTTAAGGTAAGAAACTATATAGAACTGAAAACTACATTGAACATAGTTCTAAAAGAAAGCGTCGTAGAAATTTAGAAAAATGGTTTTGGCAATTAAATACGAAAAATATTAGGTATGGGGGAAATATTGTAGCACATTCCTACACAACGAAGGAGAGGGATGGGTTAAGACATGCAAACCGTCTTCTCTCCTGATGGCGTATTCAAGCGTTGTGATTGTGAATCTTTTTTGTCACTGTCGAGCTAATGACGTTCTTGCTCTGTTCTATTTATATGTCTCTACCATAATCATTGCACTCGACTAATTATGTATTTTCGTGTGGGTCCAGAGCAGTCAACAATCAAAGAGCTTCCATCACCTCAAAATTGCCCTTTTATTCATTTAATTTAATAAAGATGAAATAATTCAGATTTTTAATGTTAGGATATTTTACTTGAGGAACTGACCACAAATTGCATAAAATGTTTTAAGCTTTTTTTTGTTCTTTATTAGTTTATTACTTTTTTTAATTGTTACTCTTTGTTATTGTATTATTATTTTTAAAATTTTCAGTGCTCGTAAGTTGTTCAATGAAAAAACTCAGTAGGTAAAAGGTATAAAATGAATTCACTATTTTAACATTTAGCAAACACAGTGTTTGTCATTCCATTTTACTCTTAACGGTTAGATTTAAAAACATTTGAAACAAAAAATTTAATAAACTCAGATTTGTTAACTATTATCAATGTATGGATCATATAATAATTTACTTCTGACAAAAATGTTTAACTTCAATACACACTGTACTGACATTTCAAAATTATTAAAAATTTTTTTAATCATTTCGTTAAAGAAGTACTGAACTAAGCTACAAATTTAATAGGGACCATTCTCTAATTTACATTAATAATATGAATTGAGTTAATTATTAACTTAATTCTTTACATAGCTTTATAAATTAAGTATGATCAATAATATTAATCTTGTTAATGTTTTTCTTGAATATACTTTTTATAAATAACCTTTATATAAATCAAAAAAATACATCTAATAGCTTTTTTAAGTTTTACTGTAATTTTGAATTAAAACTAATTTTTAAAAATTTTTTTAATAAAGTAACTATTAATTTAAAAAATAGAATTAGCAACTCAATTTTGAATGTATTTTAAACTGTGCATAAATTGTTTTTATGGTGGCTAATATAAGTAAGAGAGTTCTTTGTCGGAAACTTAATATTTTAGCACGATCATGCAAAATCTTTGAAAATGTTTTTGCCTTTTGTTAATTTTATGTTAATACTATTTTATGTTATGTGTTTGTTAAATATATATATATATATATATATATATATATATNTTAAAAGATTTAGTATTGCATACTTTATGGCTTGAATCTCAGCATCGAAATTCGTGACCTTTGACCCCACGGATAGAGGTTCTTAAAAACATTTTTTAACAATATATTGACCTGCAACACTATACAGCCTAGAAAGGAACAATGTAAATGATAATCATTTATTTCTATTGCTAATGATATGAATGCTCAAATAGACTTCAAAAAATTTATAAAAAATTTTATATATATATATATATATCATGAAGAAAACCATCTTAGAAAAAAATCTTGTACCATTAATTTCCTTCAGGTTATTATCCTTCAGCTTATGTTACCCATAATTTTTTTTTTTTAAACTTGTCTTTCTAAATATTTATTGCAGTAATTTTATTATAATTTTAATATAATTTTATAATAGTTTAATTTCGTTTCTTTAAATTTTTAAATATATGTTTCTTAAGTATTAATGTTGAAACTAGACAACTCGTCCGTTAAAAACTTCTTTCTTTACTGGCTTAATTTAAAATGTTTTTCAAAAATCAACCTTAATTTTGTATTGTTTCTTTTGTCAAAACCCCCGTTACAGAATCACGGCGACAGAACGTTACAGAGTTCTTGCAGAAAGATTTTTCTTTTGAAAAAAAAAAAATACTTTTCTTTTCTACAGAAATTTACACGTAATATTTGAATTCTACATTTAGATAATCACTTTTTGGCGTGCTCAATTTCCGACGATAGTATCGTAAAGTGATGTAATGCTTCGATTGTATTTTTGGCAGTTATTGATATTGATTTTCACGTGGATTTTTAGTATCCCGATATATTTCAAACAATATGGAAAATTTGAATCATCCATTGGAGTATTTACTTTTTAAGGCAATAATTCTATTGAAGTTTTGGCAGTTATTGCTATTGATTTCTCCATAGTTTTTAATCCGAAACACAGCGCTTTTGTTATTTTAAATTAGTAACATATATGTTTGTTATTATTACAAGTATCTTGCAGAAAGATATTAGTAATAGAGAGTTTTGTTGCAGATAGCTCGAAAAAATTCTGCTACAGGGGTCTAAACAAATTTTATGTTTTGAATTTTTTTTAGTCAGTGATAACAAATGATGAACACTTGTTATCTTCAACTCATTGTTAGGATTTCATTATATTCTAATAAATTACTTATTTGCTTTTTCTAGGAAGCTACGACATTCCTCTGAGCTCAAAACCAATTTTAAATGAAGCATATGATGAACCAAGGCCTCATAATGTAAGACCACCACCCATTCCGACTGTTTATGATTCACCCAAAACAAATGTGCCTGTTTCTGCTAACGAACCTGTTGTAGCAAACGATCCAATCTCGGATCAAATTAGCACTTACGATGTTCCCAAGCCTTCAGATAAAGATTTGCAACCTTCTCATATTATAACTATATCCGACAATTATGATGTTCCCCCTTCTCTTTGTAAAAACAGCCCATCATTGTATGATGGGAGGGCATTCAGTCGCTCCAGCAACTCGACATCGGGCAGCTCGTCTTTCCGGTCACCCTCTGGGAGTCATTCCAGTATAGAGACTTTGTCGCTTTCAAGTGTGGGTGGAGGATCAAACAGATCCAGTCTGGAGCAGCATCCGAATGACGTGTACGATATTCCCCCTGAGCCGCAACCTGTGCTCCGTTTGCCTCATCAAAGTTCTTTATCACAAGAGACCTATGATGTACCGTCAAATAATATGCCTGCACAAATAATTGACCCAAAACAAATGAAAACCCCAGTTGTCCTTGATGGTGTATACGACATACCACCTCAAGCAATGCGAGACACGTGCCCTGTACCCAAGACAGATGTTGTTGATTCTTGTTGTCAGATTACTGTCGCTGCAAATAAACCTTCTGAAGAGAAAGAATTTGTAAGCATCGTTCCAGAATGTGCAGAAATGCTATTGGATCGTGAATCGGCTGTGGAACTCCTCATGAAACATCATCAAGAAGTTCAAAGCTCGATTTCGAAGCTTTTCAGCTTTGTGAGTACAACTTGGCGAAAATATGAAAACATGAATAATAAATTACCCGAGATCCAAGTCACCTGTCACAAACTCCAAAGCTCTATAGTAGATTTGTTCAATTTTTTCCAGGGTGCTTTAGCAAATTCTGCCCACGCTGCTGATAAGTCTCTTTGCTTCAAATTAAATAAACTGGTGAGCCCAATCAAAGAATCTTGCACAACCATAAAAACTTGTGTTCAAGCATTGGATGATAAAGGATGGATTGCATCGAATCTTTCCTATTCAGAGGAATCATACACTCCAGACGAGCTGGACATGCTGGTCTCCTGCGCTCGAAACCTCGTTGAAGATGTCCGACAAGTCACTTCTCTCATTCAGGGAAATTCTACACTTTTGTTTAAAAGTGAACAAAGTACTTGTGAGAAATCTAAACCACCTGTAGCACCTAAACCCAACATAAAAGCCAAGCCACCCATTTCTGCAAAGCCAGGCACCAAATTGCAACAAAGGCCTCTACCGCCAACTCCTCAAAACAACGCCCTGAAGTCTCAGTTAAGCGGAGAATATTTCAATGAATATGATTACGTAAATCTGGAATCCAAAGAAACTGTGGAGAAGGAAAACGAATCCATAAAAGCGACCCTATCCAAGGAGATGTCTCAGAATTTTGATGAGCTTGTCAAACAGTCTGAGGTTCTCGTTGTCAGCCACACAGAGGTGGTCCTAGATAAAGTCTCTCCCCTAGATCCGAAGGATGTGCAGTTATTGTCATTTTACAGTGTGCAGCTAGAAACACATATCACGCATTTAACTAAAGCCATTGATGCCTTTCTAATGACTATTAAGAATAACCAACCTCCCAAAGTATTCGTAGGACATAGCAAGTTTATTATTATAGGTGCGCACAAACTTGTCTACATTGGTGATACTGTGCACCGCAACTTAAGTAACTCCGAGCTCAAGACGCAAGTTATGCAAAATTCAAATAGCCTATGTGACTCTCTCAAAACTTTAGTAGTAAGTACAAAGAAAGCAGCCGCAGACTTTCCGTCTGTAGTCGCCGTTCAAGAAATGGTAGACAGCGTAGTAGATGTTTCTCATCTAGCAAATAATCTTAAACTATCTATTGTGCAAGCTTCGTAAATTTTTCGCCTTCTTACACGCTGAAAATATTTTTCGGGGGCCAATTTTGTTTTAATATTATTCAACTCACATAGCTGCCAAATCTACTGAATTTTCCAGTAGACTACTGGATTTTGCCAGTTCTACTGGTTTGGTAAAAATTCTCCTAGTTTTTGTACATTTTAGAAAAATCCCTATTGAAATAGATTTTTTTTTTTGCAGATTATTGCTTGCTTGAATATTTTAAATGAGTGTCACTAATACATAATGAAACGAACCTCGTTTATAAAATTCAGTTAACTTTGATGAATTAAATGCCTATTACTATTCAAAATTATGAATAATCACAATGTATAAAATTTCAAGTTCATTTAATGTGAAATCATATCTGGTGAATAATCATATTGCAGTTTTTCTATTTTGATGCCTCAAAAAATCCCTAAAATTTCCTATGTGTAAAATGTTTAGTATATTTTGCAACAATTATCATGAAATTTATATTATTTCGTAAAATCTACTGGATTTTTTTCCTATCCATGTTGGCAGCTATAAACTCGTATTTTGGATTTTTTTTCAGGGACGCCTGTGGAAAAAAAAAAAAAAAATTCATGTTTCGGAATTTTTCCTATAATTTAGATGCAGCTCTTTTTTTACTCAAATGCAGCTCTGATATATGTATTTTTTTTTTTTTTTTTTTTTTTTTTTTTTTTTTTTTTTTTTTTTTTTTTTTTTTTTTTTTTTTACTTCTTATTTTCCTCACAAAAATTCATTAAATAATCATTCAAGAAAATCTATCAAAGCTTTTTCGAAACTTGCTGGGACTTTTTCCCCATGTAAATCAATAATGGTTGCATTCAGATTTTGAAATAATATTTGAATAAAGAAAAAAAATCCATTTGTGAAAGAGGCTTCATACCGTATTCAGCAGTGAGGCAAAACAGGATTTTTCTTCTTAGTTGCCTTCTGTCCGTATTTTGACAACAGACCCGTTTCCTGGCTAGCTCCACCTGAGCAACCCCATAAGAGCAAACACACTTTTATTCTATATCTCGTTTTTGTTTTATAGTTCATTTTATTATTTTTTTTTCATATTTAGATTATATTTTTTATATTTTATTCTATTATATTTTATATTTATATTATTTAATTACATAATTCGATCTCTCATAAATTGTGTCACATTTCTATAAAATATTGTATCAGTAATTTTTAATAAGTTATTTATTTATTTTTTAATTTCATGCTCGCATTTTTATTGCTTTATGAACTAATCTTTTCATTGAAATTTTGAATTTTAAGTGTATTTTGTTTTCTCTTAATAGATTTTTTTTTTCATATAAAGCATGCATTTTTATTTTATTAAAAAAAAAGAATTCATGAATGGTATTTCAAATAATTTAGTTGAAAAAAGTTAAGAGAAAAATACAGAAATTATTTTATCGAAAGTCTTGTTAGGAAAAATATTTTATTCAAAGCATCCTTATGTGCAATATTTAGAGAATTATTAATATACTAGATTTGCAACTTTACATTTTATATAGAAGATTTTATTTCCATATACCTCAATATGGTTTTTTTTTTACACTACAGAATTCCCTGCATTTGCAGAACCTTCATATGATTTTAAAAGTCTTTTAATAACCCTTTATTCAATTCAATTTTTATGAGATTGAGTCTGTGTTTTTCACTTATGCCTTACTTATGTGTAAAATTGTTTACAAATTATGTTTTAAATATGCTTTGCCTCTTCCTGCTGAATGGCATAGTCGTTTTTAACAGGGCATCACATGACCGGGTAGTTATATTCCATGACACTCCTAGTCAAAATTCCGGCAAGATAAATTGTAGTGTCTCAATTCCCAATACTAAGTACATGAAGCCTATAGCATAGCAGAGAATTAAAATCATGTCCAATTCACACAAAAATTCAACTCTAAGGTAAAAATTTCTCCTATTATAATATGCAAATTTATCGAGATGACGCTGATAGTAAGGAGAGTGTAAGAGAGGGGTATAAAAGGCAGAGAACAAAGATTCTGTTATGGCGTAGAGGTTGTATATGGATGATAAAATTATCTGGAATGTAAGTCTTTGGCAATGATTCCAAGATGATGGAAAGTTGCCATTGAAGATTCGTATTTGGCAGTAACTACCAGAAGAAGCAGGCAGTGCACAATCTACAGCCCCACAGTTTCAAGGCAAACCGAGTGCAGACATTTAGATATTCAAAATACAATTAGAGAATTTTAAAAAGTGTCAATGTATTTTTCATAATTAACGCACAAAAATAGATGACCCAATGAGATTAATTCTAATTTAAAAATTTATTTTAGTAAATAAAATGAAATTTATAAAGATAACAACACTGTTTCTTTGTAAATACCAATCAACATATATTTTAAATTTTTATATTTTATGTATTACATTTAAAAAAAATTTATAACAAAGCTTTATTGAAAATAGAACATTTAAAATGCATATTTATAATAAAAACGTTTTTAATGGGTGTATCAAAATTATATATCAAATATTACCTAATAATTTTTTATAAAAATAAGTTACTATGTTCTGAAAGATGTAAATGTTATAATCTTTTCACCGCTCTTTAAGAACAGAAATATAAATGATTGAGCATCCAATTCTCTTAGCCAGAAAGACAGCAATCTCTGGTTGTTGCAACAGGTCTTGGCAGTCGGTATGAAGACCCCTTAACTTTTTTACTTTAGATATACTGGCATCAGGAATAAGGGTTACTATGGTTATAGTTACATAGCTACCAACTGTACTAGATTTTCCAGTAGACTACTGGATTTTCCCAGTTTCTTCTGGTCTACTGGTTTATTTAAAATTCTCCTGGTTTTTGTACATTTTAGACGATTTCCTAAAATTGAGTAAGTTTCCTTAAAAAAATCCCTTTTGAAATTAATTTTTTGTGCAGATTATTACTTGCTTGAATAGTTAAAAAGTATTACTAATACATTCTAGAAATCAGTTCAAAGCTTTTTTTTTTCTAAAATGTTCAGTTTATTTTTACTCGCAGTATTCTTTTTAAATTAATTTAAAAAAAATCTTTTAACTATGTTTGATAAATGAAATGCTTATTAATATTCAAAATTATGAGTAAACGTAAAACATAACATTTCAAGTATGTTTAAAGCCAATCATAACTATAAAATATTGCAGTTTTTCTATTTTGATGACTATAAAAATCTCTGAAACTCCCTACTTGTAAAATATTTAGTACATTATGCAGCATTTATCATGAAATTTATATTCTTTCATAAAATCTACTGGATTTTTTTCCTATCTATGTTGGCAGCTATGTAGTTATTTATTTACTTTATTTTCATAACACATTAAACATGATTTAAGAAATAAGAATTATTTAATGAAACTGCTAAATTACACTAAAAAGATTTAATAATCAACTGCAACTATGAAATTCTTGCATTCAATAGAGAGAAATCTAAGGAATGATTATTTTCAGGTAGTCATGTAAAAAAAAAAAAAAGCTATGTAAAATGTTCTGCTATGTAATGTTCATAGGTGCTATGCAATTAATGAGCAGGTTCTCCCCACCATCTGTAGCTAGCAAAGTTGTAAATATATGTACCTATACAGTAGATTTTCTTTTTATTGTATGATTGATAATGTTAACTATGGTTGAGTGTTTTGCGAAATCTTATTTTATGCTATTTCTATGTGCAAAAGAAATAGTAATTAATTATCCCTGTAAATCTTCATTTTAAATGAGAAATTAGCTCTTGCTAAAGTAATTAACATTGTTTTCCAATGCTTCCACAAAATTTGAGTTTTTAGGATGTAAGATATCTGAGTAGTTCCTATAATAATTTAATGATGTTTTGCTAATTTTTTCCGTAAATTCAAAAATTTTCTTTTCAAAAGGGAAATTTGATCATTTTTTTAAATACATTTTACTGTATGAATTTTACATTGCAAAATGTATTTTACTCAAATCTTTTTTATTTAATAAATTTTGCAACTTAAAGTAATAACTTAGATCTTTTAAGTTATAACAATGTATCACTTACTTAATGATTTAGTACTCTTATTTAATGATTTAGTACGTAAGACCTTCATTATAAGAAAGACTAGTCTAGTTTATCAAATCAGCTATTTCATTTTTAGGAGTTATTTTTCCTTTTTATCCTACTATTGGTTAGTGTTAACCATTTCTGCTGAAAGGAAATGTTACTTACATGGTATTTATGAAAGTGGGCGGAGAAGCTGGAGGATTTTAATTATGTTTCTCTCTTACTTCAAATAATTGAAGGTTGCACTATAAGTGTTGTAGTACAATGGCCTGAAAGATAAAAGATGAGATCAGAAAAAAATTTTGAAACCACCTATGTTTTAACGTATATGGGGTATCTGCGCACCTGGAAAGTTATAAATTTTGGTATTGAACAAAATCTGTCATGATTTTAACTAGTTTTTTAAAAAAATCTTGGAAAGTCATGGTCGAAGTTTGGTTATACCTAAGTTATTGTAATGCTTTTTTAAATTTATTGTTGTGTTCTTGTCAGAGATAATAGTAACTTTGTTAACTCATGAAAAATTCGTGGAAAGTCATAAAAAGTCATGAATTTAAAAATCTAAAATGTAGCAGATACCCTGCATATAACTAAACTTTGACTTAATTGATAAAAATCTGCAATTTTTTTAGTTAAGTTTGAATATTCTTTTTTTTTTATGATCTCATGTTTTTTATTTCAATATTTTTTAATGTGTGGTTTTGTATCTTATTAATATTTTTGAATAAAATTCTCATTTTTCATTTTATGAACTCTATGCCATAAAAAAGATTGCAGCATTGTTTGTAACATTTAATTAAATATTGAAAAAATAAATGAAACAAACCTGCAGATTGCAATTTTAATCAAAACATCTATGATTTTTCACCGTTATTTTTGTTATTTATCTGTAAATAAAATACACTGCTTTTACAATAAGGATTTAAAATAAAAACTTTAATAGATTAATAATTAATGAACTAATGCAAGTCATGTCACAAGCATTGTGATAATATGACAATAATATAAAATTTTCTTACGAAATATTTTCTCAGTGTCAATGTCTTTTAATTTTTACCTGAACAGAATGATATGTTATATTCTATTTATGATTGTTTTTATGGTTTTGTTAAGAAGTGTA